TCATTACTGGACATGAATTGTGTTATGTCATGCAGGTTTTTCACTACTGACGAAACAAATTCATTCTAAATGACTATCATATTGATCGATCATATTTTCATTGAAAAAATCAAACTCATACACGTGTTGTTGCTGTGGTGTAATGAAAACAGATTGCTAATTGTATTGTACAAGAGACATAAAAAAAGAATAATTCATACTAAGTTTCTGTATTTACTCAGAATGAAGTGTACTCACACAGTTATCTTTCATGTTATTAAACCGAAAACATACATATCGTGATTATCAAAAAACAACCATAAGGTAATTGACTTCCATAAAAATAATCCTTTCATTGATTTGCAAGAACACATGCATCAGTTAGACTCAGTTCTCGACTGTAGATTCGAAATTCATCAATGGCTCCAGTGAATTGCCCTGCAGTGATAGAACCTGTTTGGCAATTAGAACCCGACGATCCGTAATAACCAAGTAAAACATAATCTGGAACCTCACTTGCAGAATAACTTGCAGCTCCCGTGGTTCCCACTTGAATTCCATTCACGTATAAAATAACCCCATTGGTCGTACTGTAAGTTTCAACAATATGTGTCCACACATTCAACGAAAGTGTAGAACCGACTATAGGGATTGCAGATCCATTCCATAATTGAGCAATAAGTCTGTTTGAAGAATCCAATCCGATAAATGGTGCACACCATGGAGAGACACCGTTGGTATAGCCGTCGGCTCCATTTGCTACATGAACAATCGTCCCAACACCGGTGTATGCGGTTGGTTTGACCCAAAGTGAAAATGAAAAAGCTTTATTCGATGTCCCCAATGCGACCAGATTACCGACAGAAAAGTAGGTACTCGATGCACCGAATGCCAAAGCTTGATTGACATAACCACTGACAGTGGTCACACCAGATGTGATGGTACCAGTGAAATAATTCGGGCCACTGTCTTGTAGAGAACCAGAATCAAATGAAAAATAGGCAACTAGAGTTGCATCATCCAGGATTTCGCAAGCACTCTTAGCCCGATTGCTCACTCCAAAGAAAAGAATTAATAAACAAGAAAAAAATTCTCAACACGACATACCGAACATATGATCAATAAGTCCCTTGAATTGATTATTTGTTTGAAAAGCACCTATATGTCGATACAAAAATCAATTCAGAACAAAGATTTTTCTAACATTCTATTCCATACCTATATTGACCAGACCTGATGTGCCCACATAAGCAGCAGGTGTTCCAGTTAAATTTGCTTGCCCATCATTGTAACCATTGCGATAGATATTTTGTTGTTTAATGGAAAAATCATAAACAAATGCCACATGCAACCAAGTGCCTGCGAGACTAGCTGGCAATGTTGTTCGACTCACAAGATCATCGACCCAAAATCCTTTTCCAAAGAAACAAACACGCAACAGTACCAACACTTTCATATAAACTGATACTTACCCATATATATACTATATGGATTGAAATTTCTCAGAATTAAATGCATACAATTATCTTTTGCAGCACCGCTAAGATCACATTCCCCAAATACGGCATAATCTGGTCCATTTATAACCAATGTCACTGGTTGAATCCAGGCTTCGACGGTGAAACTTGAATTAGCGAAATTGATAAATGGCGTCGTTACATATTGTGAGCCATTCAAACTCAATGCTTTGCCAACATAGCCTGTGCTATATCCAGGATCGTTCACACCGGTGCCATTGTAGACCTAGACAGTCTCGGATGTATACGAATGGAAGATATGAATTCCTACATTAAGAATATCGTTCAGATTGTTTTCAAAAGTCCATACTGCTGTATAACTTGACAGAGCAGCTCGACTGGTAATATTACAGGTCGCATTGCAAGATGTTGGTAAATCTGAAATTATTCAATAGAAATCAACAACAGAAAATTTTTTTTTTCGATTTCTTTTCCATTGGAAGCTTCATGGGGATGCAATTACTTACAAGTAGTAGCGGAAACTATAGCATTGGTAGAAGTGGAAGCTGTAGTGTTGGTAGTAGTGGAAGTCGATGTAGTCGTCTGTTTATTGAAATAGAGTACAGCCAGGGGAACAGATACTGTAATAGCAGTGATTAACAAGCAGCAAAGTCCAATACCAAATGCAAACAACCAACCACGTCGGCGTGAACGTCTTTCCAAAAATCAATTCAGTTATATGAACGAAAAGCAAAACAAGAAATCGTACTTTGATGGAATTTCTACCAAATCTTTCACATTAAGAGTTCTCACCGCAGATTGCGATTGTTTTGATGATGTATACGATATATCTGATCCAAAGCCTATCAGTGATGAATTATTCAGATTACGATAACTTTTCGGTCGTTTAGTATCAACGAATTGAAGACGGGATTTATACACTTCTCCTTTTTGTGTACTGGTCGTCATTGTACAATCGATACTTATTCTTCAGCGAGCGCCATTCTTCAATCAGCAAAGACGATACTGCTTTGTAAAAACAATTATTATTTGTTTCTGTTGCGTAAAACAAAAAAATCGTTGAATGGTTTCCCTTTCTTTCTCTTGACGAATGCAGCATTTGTAGTTTTTTGAGATTTAATGCTTTCGTGGATGCCCAAGCAATGTTCTTTTTCTTGCTGAATTTATAGTTAAAAGTCGAAGTGTTTGTTTACATGAGCATTTATGAGAGAAAAAAAGAGAGAATCTAATGCTTTCACAGATGCCAAAGCAATGTTCTCTTTCTTGCTAAATTTATAGTTAAAAGTCGAAGTGTTTGTTTACATGAACATTTACGAGAAAAAAAGAAAGAAAAAGGACTTAATCGTTCAAAAAACAGGAACTGCTATTCGTTATAATATTTCTATTTTCTTGTGATTATCAAATAATGACGATTAATTGTATATATAGTATTCATTCTTAATATAGACATAAATAAACGATTTTCTATTAGAAAAAATATCTTAACTAGAATGTAAACGGGCTAGGAGAGGAAAGCACGAGCAGAAAAGTTTGAGTGGAGAGTGTGGAGGTGAAGTTAAGTTTATTAGAAAAAAAATTCAAAAGCTTCTCATGACTGGATTCCTCTTTGCTTCACAGACTCGTCAGGTGAGCTTTGGAAAATAAAAATTTGCATCCGTAATGAATTCAAGACAGAATGTAAAAGGAGGGGGGCGGGTTTGCTCGTAAAACGGCCCTAAATAAAAATCATCTCGGAACACTTTATAAAATTGAATTTCATCTTCCTCTAAGTAAGAATAAAGCATCTGGACCTCTTTCAGGTCATGTTTCGAGACCTCTTCTCGACATCTCTACCTAGGACAGAAGCATTATCAATATCAGAATCCTCCTCATAGGTTAACCGCATTAGTTTACCAAATCAGTCTCATATTTTCAGGGGAGATAGAGCTTTTCAAGACCTGCAAAATGATCACCAATTGTTAAGGAAAATATGCGGCGCTCGAAAATTTCCAAGGACCACACTGCCCAGGTTCTACAGGAAAACTCATTGTTGGGATAGTATGCTCCGTAGGATCTTGAGTATCGCTCCTAATACCATCGTCATTTTTTCTGTTCAGATAGAGATTTTTGAGATCTTCAAAATGATAACAAATTGTGAAGTAAAATATTCTGCGCTCGAAAATTCCCAAGGATCACACTGTCCAGGTTCTACAGGAAAACTCATTGTTGGGAATGTATGGTCCGTAGGACCTTGAGTATCGCTCCTGATACCATCGTCATTTTTTCGGTGCTGATAGAACTTCTGAAAAGTTACAAAATGATCACAAAAATGTTAAGGAAAATATGCTACGCTCGAGAATTTCCAAGGACCACACTGTCCAGGTTCTACAGGAAAATCCATTATTGTGATAGTATGGTCTGTAGGATCTTGATGATCGCTCCTGATACGATAGTCATTTTTTCTGTGCCGACAGAGCTTTTCAAGACGTACATAATGATCAGAAAATGTAAAGGAAAATGCGGTGCGTTTGAGAATTTCCAAGGACCACTCTGTCCGGGATCTAAAGGAAAACTAATGGATTTGATAGTATTGTTCTTGCGATCTTGACTGTGGCTTTTGATGCCATTGCCGTTTTTTCTGTGGAGATAGAGCGGTTTAGGAGCTGCGAAATCGTAATAAAACATTAGGCAGCAATGAGGGTCAGAAAATCTCAAGGCGCATAGTATCAGCAATGTTGGGAGTAATCGACGGTCAGTATAGTGTGGTCGATGATATGTTTTTGGAGGTATGATTTATACTTCCCTCTATAACATTGCTGAACAATATGACCCCCTTATGGTGGTTAGTTGTACAAATGTAGGCATCCATCGGCGGAGACGTTGGAAACAAACCGTTAATGAAGAAAAGTCGAATCCATTTTGCAATTAGAGGAAGTCCGCTGCTCACACTTGCGCAACCACCATAACAATGACAGATATATGACTTGTTCGGGCTGCCTTTATGCGAAAAGTAATAAGAATTCATGTAATCCCTCGCTTTTATATTTTATCACCGCTAGCTGTAAAATAAATCTAACAAATGCTTCTCTTTAAAAATTTCTTCTTAATACCTCACTCTGTGTGAAACATCTACGCTCCGAATCACTCTCCAAGGAAAACGTTTTCTTCGCACCTGTCGCGCCATCTCTTAGCCTCTATCGAAATCACTCTCCACGAAACCTATTCTCTCTTCTCTCTCTGATCTCGTATCATGTCTAAATCCCAATCTAGCCAACATTTTTTCATCATTGTCCTTCGCTTTATAGCCACCTCCATCTCAAACTCTCTGTATACTACATCTTCTATATGAATCTCTGCGTGTTTACTACCCTTCCTCTCAACCCCTAAAATGACTCTTCCATTACTGCATACTAATCATCCTCGACACATTGCTTAAGCCTTGCTTCGTTCCACATGCATAACGGCTTCTTACCTACAATACGTTCTATCACTTACTCCAATATTCACAACCATTCTATGATCGTAGTCTTAAAACTCGTTCGTCATATTCTTTCGACAATTCGTTTTCTCACAACGATTCGATAGCGTCGTCCGTGATTTTTTTCGAGGACGGTAAATTTCCCTTTACATTTGTGATCACTGTGTACGTCTTGAAAATCTCTATCCACACCGAAAAAATGGTGATGGTATCAGGACTGATACTCAAGATCGTATGGACCATACTATCCTAACAATGGTGTGTCTATAGAATCCGGAGAGTGTGGTCCTTGAAAATTCTCGAGCGCAGCATATTTTTCTTTACATTTTATGTTCATCTTGTAAAGTTCTATCTGAATACAAAAAATGACGATGGTATCAGGAGCGATACTTCGGATCGTACGGACCATACTATCCCAACAATGAGTTTTCCTGTCGAACCTGAACAGTGCAGTCCTTGGAAATTTTCAAGTGCAGCACATTTTCCTTTACATTTTGTAATCATTTTGTAGCTTTTCAAAAGTTCTAGCTGCACAGAAAAAATGACGATGGTATCAGAAGCGATACTCAAGATCTTACGGACCATACTATCCCAACAAGGAGTTTTCCTGTACAACCTGAACAGTGTGGTCCTTGGAAATTTTCGAGCACAGCATATTTTACTTCACAACTTCTTGTCATTTTCTAGCTCTTGAAAAGTTCTATCTACACAGAAAAAATGACGATGGTATCAGGAGCGAGACTTCGGATCGTACGGACCATACTATCCCAACAATGAGTTTTCCTGTAGAACCTGGACAGTGAGGTCCTTGAAAATTGTCGAGCGCAGCATATTTTCCTTAACAATTTGTAATCATTTTGTAGCTCTTCAAAAGCTCTATCTTCCCTGAAAGTATGAGACTGATTTGGTAAACTAACGCGATTAACCTATGAGGGGGATTCCGATATTGATAATGCTTCTGTCCTAGGTAGAAATGTCGAGAAGAGGTCTTGAAACATGATCTGAAAGAGGTCCAGATGCTTTATTCTTACTTAGAGGAAGATGAAATTCAATTTTGTAAAGTGTTCCGAGATGATTTTTATTTAGGACCGTTTTACGAGCAAACCCGCCCCCCTCCTTTGACGATCTGCATACTATACGCCATAAGAGACGTTGTGTTTTGTCTCTTTGTATGTTGATGTTAGTGGTGACATCTTTTTTTTTGCTGTACATAGTGATCTTTTTGATGATGTGGGTTACGGAAAGAAATACGTTCACAGCCACACCCCACACCCGCTCCACACCCACACCCACATCCTCACACACACACCCCACCCTCAAGGTTGCCATCGATATTTTTTAGGTATCGATCCAGTTTGAGAAAGGTACGTTCCTTTTTCAGAAAGAAGTTTCTAGGTTTGAGATATTTTTGAAGCGTGAATGTGTGCGGTATACGTTTAGATTGAGAAATGAAAAACAATTTCAACATCATCAATACTTATTTTTTTTATCTTCCGGTCACGTAATTAGGAACATTGGATCAGTGTTATCATTAGTCTAGATTGTGTTGAAATCCGTTAAACAGTTGACAAAACTAATTATTCTTCGAACTTTTGAACTCTATCATGGCTACACGTGGCTGAAATGTTATCTTGATCCGTTTTCGCAATTACAGTTATCATCTTTAGTGCAATTTTTCCTTCAGTATATTCTCTTTGCATTTTTTCATTTTTATGTTTTTTAAATC